CGCCGCAATGCACCCCCTAATGTTGAGGGCATGTGGCCTGGTATGTTTCAGGAGGGTGGAGGGTTCGCTTGCCCCCCCCTTACCTGACCTGCATTTTTGGGGCGGGGAACCCCAAGGTTTTGGTATAGTTCTCATTTTTTCCATCCACACAAGTGACACGGCCGCTTGTCCTTATATGACAGGTGTATGGGTGACCACAAACGTAGACAGTACACATTTGGAGGCGATCACCCACATGCCTGCCAAATTAAGAGAAGTGACTGTGTCCATACACCCACTGCGTCACCAAAGACTTTCATGGGCCACCTTGTGGGTCTAGCTGTTGAATGGCCAATTGAAAGTGTATGGGCCTAAGCGCCTATGTGAATGAGGCCTAACAATAACACCAACAATGTTTTTACTGGGGTTTTCCCAATCTGAACTTCTGTTTAAGCCTGGGTTCACACATATGTGCGGTACGGTATATCGCATGTGATTCACACAGGAACTGCACCGCATTCCTGTGCAAATTACATGCGAATTGTGTGCAGTGCGATCAGAGCCATACATTTTGTATGGCTCAAATCGCACCGCATCAAAAAGGTGCAGTACCCTTTTTTTGGTCCGCAGTAGAATCGGATCACATGGGCATTCACACCTATGTGATCCGATTCTGCACATCGCACAGGGTTTTGCGTACCAATTTCGGGGTGTTGTTAACTTAACATACACACCCGCAATGGTTCACATGAACAGGGTTTGATTCTAATGAGATGCGGAATTCGCACAGAAAACGCTGAGAACTCCGCACCGCATCAGTGGACCCAGGCTCAATGATTTTTGGGCCTTTTTTTGCAAAAGGTCATAATAATACTATCCTTTTTTTTTTGCTACAACACTGCTTTATAAACAAATAAATACGAATATGTTAAGAACCCACATCAGTGTAACTATGTAACAATTGATTAGTATTTCATTTTGCTGAATATATTTAGTTTACTTGGTACAACAGCTTTAAATAAACAATGCTGCCTGCATAGGATAAAACAGGGATTAGCACATACATCAGGTGACCAGCTCTACCTGTCATTGTGACTGTGGGTTTCACACAAAAGGGGGATTTTCCATTGAGTGTCAGTATTCTGAAGCTGAATAAACACCCTCATGTAAACTCTGATGTACACACAAGAATGGCTATTGTAAGCCCTTCCTTCAACATTTTTTTTCCAAAACAATATAAACACTTATGTCCCAAACACACACGGTAAGAAAATCAGCCAACAAATTTTGCGGAACCACTGATCGAACGATTTTCTCTTCGTTGATGAGCAGGATGTTTTAACTGATAACGGTATTGTAAGCGGAAAAATCCGGTTGAACAACAGTGAAAAATGTTGTCGTTTCGCATACGAACGACCAATTTTCTATGCGGTGGTATGACGGTCGTACAAAAAATATCTGTCAAGCGCTATCACACATGAGCAGAAACAGTAGATGACCCGTATGTTTATGGCCAAGGAATCTTCGTAAACACGAATGAAAAATCCAAAATGTTAAAAGTAGATTGGCCTAATGAGATCATGAAACCAGAATTCTGCATATTATATTTTTATGTATCACTATTTATGTATATAGGTGATGTAATAAACTATATTATACTCATTGCTGGTAATTGTTGTGTATATCGCTCGTTCTGACCGGAAGGGCGTGGCTACAAGGTCACACCCACACTGCATCACTTCCACTTGTACGGAAGACGTCAACACTACGTATTGCCCGACTAACGATTTTTTTTAGATTGGTTAATGTGGACCACGATTTTGCCCATCGAAAACGAACGCCTCTCGGTTATCGGATGACCAATCGGCCGATTTTTTAACCGTGTATTCCCATCTTTAGGCTGCATTCACACTCAAGTGTTTTGTAGCTTGAAGCTCGAAGCTCCAAAAACGCTCAAACTTAGAAAATCATTTGTTCTCTATGGTGCCTGTTCATGGGATCAGATGTGAACAGACACCATAGACAACAATTGATTCTTTGAATTTGAGCTTTTTTGGAGCTTCAAGCTACAAAACACTGAAGTATGAATGCAGCCTTAAAGCATATGTAAACCCTAACAATAAACCTGTCTCATTCCCTTATGAACTAGTAATAAAGCATTTTGTTACACCTGTTTGATAAGCCACTTGATCTTGCAAGCTGATAACTTCTTATGCCTTCTGCCTGTGTTGACTGTTCTCACTACAGAACCATGCTTCTCTATAATATAAACAATATGAGAGGGTTGGAGTTCTGTGGTCCTAGCTTTTTTTTGTTGTTGTCCTGATACAGAAGGGCGAGTGAGTGTTTGACATCATAAAACAAGAAGTGTATTACTGGCAGGATCACCAGTGAAAATAGAGGAAAACAGCTAAAAAAAAGAAAAAACTAATACAACAACTGTATCTAATGTCTTGTAAACTGCAATTGGGTTGTTGGATTTAGATGCGCTTTAATGTAAAGCCGGTTATAAACCAGAGCAAGTCAAATTAGCCATACAATTTCACAGGTTCTTCAGTAAGTAATCAATGTATCAAATGAGAAGATGCCCCAGAGAAACATAAGCAGCTGAGTTTATATGCAATTCCTAAAGATGAAGTTTATTGTGGCAATTTCTACATAGTTACATTGGTCCAATGTAAGCCTATACCCGTGAGATCCCAATATTAGCTGGAAATCACTGTAGTAGGGACCGCTTTTACAATGATTGTCACTGGCATTCAGGTCCCATGCCAAGCAGCTGCCCTGCTACTTACTAGACATAGGATATTGCATGGGTGCCATTCAGGGAACACTTTCCATTCTCTGACTGGACATGGGTGAAGGGCGGGGAAGTGATGTCACAATCTCCACCTCATCCCATCAGAGAACAGTTTGTATTCATTTATAAATTCTAAAATAATCTGTGATGGGAGAAAACTTTTTCCAATTACTAAGAAAAAACTGCCACTGTGCAATTTTTATTTAAAAGGTTGCAAAAAAAAAAAAAAAAGACAGAAAATAAACCCTTGCCATCCAGGAACTAACTAAACAGTACAGATTAAACTCTCACAGGTGAAGGTAAAGGTCTTTCCCTAGTCTCCAACAAAAGAAAAAAAATCAAGCGCTTTGCAAACCTTTTCTTTCTGTTACTGAGTGATTTACCCATGTAGTTCTATCTCACACTAGCTTCATAAGTCTAAGTCTCAGGCAAGAGTAACATCTTGGTCCAGTCCTTCCCTATTTATCCCACCTGCTTCTGGTCACAAGTAGGAAGCAAAACCTGGTTCAGGTCCCAAGCCAAGATGGCCTGAAAAACCTTAGTTTTCCACATATGAAAGCACATGAGGTGACACATAACATCCCTCAATCACCTCTCCTTTCATTATATCATATATGCCCCCTCTGCTCAAGCCACTGCGGCTGAGCAACTGCCCTGACAAGGCTTGGAGCAGTACTATAAGGTCTTTGATGTTCTTGAACATCTTATTAAATTTCTCCACAAGTCCATTAGTTTGAGGGTGGTAGACAGAGGTATAAAGATGGGAGATTTTGAACAATTTACACAATTCCTTAGAGATGGACTAGAGATGGGAAAGCCCAGAAAAAAAATGGAAAAAATTGGTCAAATAAAAAATTTTTTTTCAAAGCCATTTTTGTTCAGAAAAAAAATGGAAAAAAGTGTGAAATTTGTTCTTTTACAATGATAAGTAATACGTCTATGACATGGTATTCAAACTATATGTAGCGCTACCCCTGTAGGGGCTGATCAATGATGCTTGTCCCCAGTGGTTTCCCTGACCTTGCAAGCCTCCTGAAATCTGACACTCTGGCCCTGATTTACTAAGAATTGAGTCTACCCGCAGATGCTGAACATTCAGACTCAATTCAATCAATCAAGACCTGTCAGTCTTCAGAAAGGCATCAGCAAACTCATTGAAAAGAGTCTACTTTGTAGACTCTTTCCTGTTAGTAAATCTGGAATCACATCAGGCACATTTCTAGATGCCATACCAGATATGTTCGTTAGGTGGCGCACAACCGCGGGCTTTGTCCCGTTGGCGTTTTTCTGTTTGCATATGAGAATACTTATAATTTAAAATAGAAAGCACACCTACCGTATTTGCCGGCGTATAAGACGACTGGGTGTATAAGACGACCCCCTACTTTTCCTGCTAAAATGTAGTGTTTGGGCTATACTCGCCGTATAAGACTACCCCTCTTCCAATGCACACCAGTGGGAGGAATAGTGCCCCATCATCGGTGTCAGTGGGAGGAATAGTGCCCCATCATTGGCATCATTGGTATAGTGGCAGGAATAGTGCCCCATCATTAGTATCAGTGGGGGGAATAGGTGCCCCATCATTGGTATCAGTGGCAGGAATAGTGCCCCATCATTGGTATCAGTGGGAGGAATAGTGCCCCATCATTAGTATCAGTGGGGGGAATAGGTGCCCATCATTGGTATCAGTGGCAGGAATAGTGCCCCATCATTGGTATCAGTGGGAGGTATAGTGCCCCATCATTGGTATCAGTGGCAGGAATAGTGCCCCATCATTGGTATCAGTGGCAGGAATAGTGCCCCATCATTGGGGGGAATAGGTATCAGTGGCAGGAATAGTGCCCCATCATTAATATCAGTGGCAGGAATAGTGCCCCATCATTGGTATCAGTGGCAGGAATAGTGCCCCATCATTAGTATCAGTGGGGGAATAGTGTCCCATCATTGGTGTCAGTGGGAGGAATAGTGTCCCAACATTGGTGTCAGTGGGAGGAATGGTGTCCCATCATTGGTGTCAGTGGGGGGAATAGTGCCCCATCATTGGTGTCAGTGGGGGGTGGAATAGTGCCCCATCATTGGTGTCAGTGGGGGGTGGAATAGTGCCCCATCATTGGTGTCAGTGGGGGGGGGAATAGTGCCCCATCGTTGGTGTCAGTGGGAGGGAGGAATAGTGCCCCATCGTTGGTGTCAGTGGGAGGAATAGTGCCCCATCATTGGTGTCAGTGGGAGGAATAGTGCTCCATCATTGGTATCAGTGACACCAATGATGGGGCACTATTCCTCCCACTGACACCAATGACACTTGCTGACCCTGTTCTAGTATGGTGCTGCTGCAGCCAGCATATGTGGTTGCAGCAGCACCTCTACACTGAACATTTACCTGCTGCTCCCGGCACTCAATTTTCGCGGGCCGCTCGGCTCTGCCCCCTCGCCGGTGATTGGCCGCCTGTGTGCCTTTCCTGAGCTACAGTTCTGGCGGCCAATCACCGCTGAGGAGGCGGAGCCGAGCGGCCGCACGAACATCCAGTGGCCGAACTGAAGGAGCAGCCGTGCTTCCAGGACCGGATCGTCGTGGGACTGGATCCAGGTAAGAGACAGCAGCCCCTGCCCACCCCTGTACTTAGTGTCCCTTCCGTTGGAAGGGGGGGCGGCGGCGGCACTGCGCCGCCCCCCTAAAAAGTGTCAGTATGTCGTATACCGGCGTATAAGACGACCCCCGACTTTTGAGAAGATTTTCAAGGGGTAAAAAGTCGTTATACGCCGGCAAATACGGTATATTCAATTTTTTTTTTTTGGGTTGCTGTTTCTCTATAAATGATCAGACAACTAATGCATTTCCTAATGAATGTCATACATTCTATTTTCAAATGTCAAACATTTTCACACTTATATCTCAAATAATTGGGAATGTCTAGTTCTAATTTCCCAATATAATTATATATCTTCATTCTCTTTAATCATGTAACTATTCTATGTTAAAGTAATAGTTCAGCACTATAAATGCATGTTAACAATCATAAACGCATGTAAAGTCAACAAAGTGCAAATAAGTGCAATGATGGTGTAAACTGGTAAATGATGCTTAAAAAAAAAGTTCGGTATGCTGGCAGCTATGGGTTAGTCATCCAGCTCCATCCCATCCATCCATCCATCCATCAGGGTGGGTGCCAAAAGGGTCCTGGGGAGGAATTAGCTCAGCCACAGGAGCCAGAAAGGTGCTTAATAGTGTAGTACTTTATTGTAATGGTAACGAGCAACATTTAAAATATCCACGTGGAGTAATAAAAATAATAGTAAAGTGAGTACCAAGATGGCCGCCGCTTCTCAATGGCGGTGGCGTGGCATCAGCAATAGGGCTCCACCCAATGCATTTCTTGTACCAACACGTCCTATTGGTGTGCCCCTGACCACCATATGACCACGGGCTAAATCCAATACCATCTGCCAATATAGCCTTGGGACCACTAGCTGTTCTACCACCTCCACCCCTTGCTTTACCATTTGATATAGAAAATTATTTTTTTTAGAGCCATGTATGGAAAAGACACCCCGACATCATGTTTAATGGGTTCCCCATCTATCATTTTAATGTTTCGTCTGGCTCTAGTAAGCATGGAGTCTTTCAGTTGTTCTGCACAATAATCCTCTTTTCTGTCTTCTATAGTGCATGGCCATCTTTAGTCTGACAAACAGTCAAAACAGATCAACAGTGAAATATGTCCGTGTGAATGGAAAATTGTCTATATAAAAAAAAAAAAGGAATAAACTCCTACAGATCTTGCAGGCGCTAATGTTCTTTGTAAGTTGATTTAAAAATTGCAGCTCAGGGGTCTAACGATTTTTTCCTTTTTATACTTGCCAATGTTATTAAACATCTTTCTGGTAAATATCAGGTTAAGAGGGTTATGTAAGATATTTACCTGTTTAACTGCGTCACCAGAGCGGTTTACATCCTGGAAGTAGTTTGACAGGTGTTCAATGAGGTGTAATGTATGCAAAGAAGGACACGGAAGAAATACTATAGGGTTTGAAGTACAAATATGGGTGCTTCAGAGGATCCAAGTCCATTGCCAACTGCTGGGAGTGTCAGTCAGGAACGGAGCTCAGCTCGGTTCCAAACATAAGCATGTAGTAAAGGAAAAATGCCTGAAGCTGCTCATCTCTGAAAATCTTCTGTAGAGGAATATATGGCAGTTTCAGCCCAGGCTCTGGCCAGACCACGCCCCCCATGGCCAGGCCGGAACTTGGGCTGAGACTGTCACATAATCCTCTACAGAGGATTTGCAGCGATGTGCGGTTTGAGGAATTTTTTCTTTACTGATAGCTATAGGGTTGTCATGATTGGAGATATGATCATCTATACCAGTGGACTCCAAAATGCAGTTTGTGGGCCAGGTGTTACCTTTTCTAGCCTTTATCTGGCCCTTATGGCACTATAATTCTGGGGCATAAATTCTCCCACTGACACCAATGATGGGGCAATATTCCTTCAATCCTGATCACATGCTTCATCACCAAACCTGAAGCATTGTTTACCTCCTTTCATGAGATATTTTATACTCCCTCTAGCCGCAGTCCAGACCGCCTAAAGTATAAAAGGACAGTACAATAGCGCTCAGGTTTGGCACATCGCAGATTGGATGGACAGATTTTTGGGTGGGGCTGGGGAGGACCCAGCTGTCATGGAACACTTTGGTACCAGGGGCGGACTGACCATTTGGAAACTCAGGCACTGCCCGAGGGCCCAGGGTCAGTAGGGGGCCCCATGAGATGCCCCTGGTACCTTTTTCATAGGCCTTTTTGAGTTTAGGCAAAGACACAGGGGCCCCATGATCCCCTATTGCCCGGCCCATGAGTTGCCAGTCCGCCCCTGGTTGGTACCAATGACAAAGTTAGAGGAAGGTGGAACTTCCTAAAAAATTATTTCAGGAACTTATGGGTTGTATTGGAAAGAAGGACCTCTAAGGTAGTTTTCTCAGAAATACTGCCTGTACCTTGTGCCACACCAGAGAGACAGCAGGAACTAAGAGAACTGAATAAGTGGCTAAGGAATTGCTGTAGGAAGGAGGGTTTTGGGGTCCTGAAGAACTGTCCTGACTTTTCAGTTGGTTACCTGCTCTATAGTAGGGACGGACTGTACCTTAATGGGGATGGCACAGGTCTGTTGGGGGAGAGGATGGCCAAAACATTGGAGGGACTTTTAAACTAGGTGGTTGTGAGCAAAGGTCAGAAAGTGCTAATGGAGGCACTAGCAGTAATATTACCATAACACCTAAACCAGGGGACAGTAAGCTGGCAAATCAAAATCACAACCTCAGAAAAACAAAGGAAATAATATGTGACCATACAAAACTGAGAGGCATGTATACAAATGCCAGGAGCCTAGCTAACAAAATGAACGAACTGGAGCTGCTGTTACACGAGGATTTCGACTTTGTGGAAACATCAGAAACTTGGTTTGACAGCTCACATGACTGGCTGGCAACTATCCAGGGGTATTTCCTGTATCAGAAGGATAGGGAGGGTAGAAGAGGGCGAGGGGTGTGCCTGTATATCAAGAATAATATACGGGTGGAAGAGAGGGACGACATCGCAAGGGGGAAGACGGAATCCATATGGGTGGAACTTCAAAGGGAAGAAACAAGAAACTTTTAATGGGGGTATGTTACAGCCCCCGACCTGAAAGATGAGGAGGAGTTGGACCTCCTATCACAGTTAGAAATGGCAGCGTGACAGGGACATGTCATCATAATGGGGGACTCCAACTATCCAAATATGGACTGGACAGAGGGAACAGCTCACTCATTAAGGCCTGTCATTTCTTAAATGTCCTACAGGTCAACTTCATGTCCCAATGGGTGGATGCCCCACAGATGTGGGAATACAGGACAACTTGGGAACCAGAGATCACAGAATAATTACATTCAGCATAAACCATAGGAAAAAGACGATAGTACAAGAACACTTAATTTCAAATGAGCCAACTTTTCTAAACTGCGCTCAATACTACAAGATATTAAAAGGGATCAAACTTTAGCAACACTTAACACAGAGGAAAAATGCGAGTGCTTTAGGAACATATTAAAAAAAGGTATTATCCAGTGCATTCCAATGGGCAATAAATATAGAAGAGCTAAGGTTGAACCTAACGCCCGAGGGGTCATTGTGAGCATTCCAGCACTACAAGGAATGCAATAAGAAATGTAAGAGCGCAATCAGGATGGCTAAAAAAGACTATGAGAGACACATAGCAGGGGAGAGTAAAAAAAATCCCAATCAATTTTTTTAATATATCAACAGTAAAAAAGCAAGGTCAGAACATATTAGCCACATAAAGGATGATGAAGGGAAGTTGAATGAAGGCAACTGTACTAAATGTATTCTTCTCCTCAATCTTTACACAGGCAAGACTGTATTGTTAGTAACACACAGCAGGATGTACCCTTGTAGTTAACAGAAGGTCGTGTCCAAAAATGACTAGAAAAGCTTAACACAAATCATTAGGATCAGATTGCTTACATCTGAGAGTACTCAAAAAACTTAGGTTATAGCCAAGTCATTATTCCTAATTTTTATGGATAGCATACTGACAGGAATGCTACCAGCTGACTGGCGAAAAGCCTATGTGGTACCAATATTGAAATAAGGGCAGAAATATCTTCCTGGAAAATACAGGCCTGTCAGTCTAACATCGATAGTATGTAAACTATTGGAGGGGATAATAAGGAGCTACAGTCAGGTCCATAAATATTGGGACATTGACACAATTCTAACATTTTTGGCTCTATACACCACCACAATGGATTTGAAATGAAACAAACAAGATTTGCTTTAACTGCAGACTGTCAGCTTTAATTTGAGGGTATTTACATCCAAATCAGGTGAACGGTGTAGGAATTACAACAGTTTGCATATGTGCCTCCCACTTGTTAAGGGACCAAAATTAATGGGACAATTGGCTTCTCAGCTGTTCCATGGCCAGGTGTGTGTTATTCCTCATTATCCCAATTACAATGAGCAGATAAAAGGTCCAGAGTTCATTTCAAGTGTGCTAATTGCATTTGGAATCTGTTGCTGTCAACTCTTAAGATGAGATCCAAAGAGCTGTCACTATCAGTGAAGCAAGCCATCATTAGGCTGAAAAAACAAAACAAACCCATCAGAGAGATAGCAAAAACATTAGGCGTGGCCAAAACAACTGTTTGGAACATTCTTAAAAAGAAGGAACGCACCGGTGAGCTTTGCAACACCAAAAGACCCGAAGACCACGGAAAACAACTGTGGTGGATGACCGAAGAATTCTTTCCCTGGTGAAGAAAACACCCTTCACCACAGTTGGCCAGATCAAGAACACTCTCCAGGAGGTAGGTGTATGTGTGTCAAAGTCAACAATCAAGAGAAGACTTCACCAGAGTGAATACAGAGGGTTCACCACAAGATGGAAACCATTGGTGAGCCTCAAAAACAAGAAGGCCAGATTACAGTTTGTCAAACGACATCTAAAAAAGCCTTCACAGTTCTGGAACAACATCCTATGGACAGATGAGACCAAGATCACCTTGTACCAGAGTGATGGGAAGAGAAAGAGTATGGAGAAGGAAAGGAACTGCTCATGATCCTAAGCATACCACCTCATCAGTGAAGCATGGTGGTGGTAGTGTCATGGCGTGGCCATGTATGGCTGCCAATGGAACTGGTTCTCTTGTATTTATTGATGATGTGACTGCTGACAAAAGCAGCAGGATGGATTCTGAAGTGTTTCGGGCAATATTATCTGCTCATATTCAGCCAAATGCTTCAGAACTCATTGGACACCGCTTCACAGTGCAGATGGACAATGACCCAAAGCAGACTGCAAAAGCAACCAAAGAGTTTTTAAGGGAAAGATGTGGAATGTTATGCAATGGCCAAGTCAATCACCTGACCTGAATCCGATTGAGCATGCATTTCACTTGCTGAAAACAAAACTGAAGGGAAAATGCCCCAAGAACAAGCAGGAACTGAAGACATTTGCAGTAGAGGCCTGGCAGAGCATCACCAGGGATGAAACACAGCATCTGGTGATGTCTATGCATTCCAGACTTCAGGCTGTAATTGACTGCAAAGGATTTGCAACCAAGTATTAAAAAGTGAAAGTTTGATTTATGATTATTATTCTGTCCCATTACTTTTGGTCCCTTAACAAGTGGGAGGCACATATGCAAACTGTTGTAATTCCTACACCGTTCACCTGATTTGGATGTAAATACCCTCAAATTAAAGCTGACAGTCTGCAGTTAAAGCACATCGTGCTCGTTTCATTTCAAATCCATTGTGGTGGAGTATAGAGCCAAAAATGTTAGAATTGTGTCCATGTCCCAATATTTTATGGACCTGACTGTATATCCAATAAACTGCTGAGGAAAACGGTATCATTAATAGTAATCACCATGAGTTTACAAAAAATAATTTCTGCCAAACCAACCTGTTAACATTCTAAGAGGAAGTGAGCTGTCATCTAGATAAAGAAAGGCATGGGGATGTGGTGTATCTGGATTTTGCAAAAACATTTGATACAGTGCCTCATAGACATTTAAATTACAAACTGAGGTCTGTAGGCATTGACCATAGGGTTTGTTCTTGGACAGAAAACTGGTTACAGGGGCATGTCCAAAGGGCGGAGATAAATAGTGTATACTCAGAGTGGTCTGAATTGGTAAGTGCCCTAAGGCTCTGTCCTGGGACCAATTCTGTATAATTTATTCATAAATTATATAGAAGCTGGAATAAATAGCTCAATCTTAGTGTTTGCTGAAGATACAAAGCTAAGCAGGGCAATAACTTCACAGCAGGATATAGAAACTTTACAAGAAGACCTGAATAATAGAATGGAATGGGCAACTACATAAGTAAATGAGGTTTAATGTTGAAAAATGTTAAGTAATGCACATGTGGGATAAAAATATGTACGCAAGTTACTTGCTAGGGGGAAAACCTCTGGGGGAATCCAAGATGGAAAAAGATCTGGGGATCCTAGTAGATCACAGGCTCAGCAATGGCATGCAATGCCAAGCTGCAACAAGCAAGGCCAGCAGGATATTAGCATGCATTAAAAAGGGAATTTACTCCAGAGATAAATGATAATCCTGCTACTTTATAAAACTCTGGTTCAGACAAATCTGGAGTGTTCCATTCAGTTCTGGTCACCACTCCTTACGAAGGATGTGCTGTAACTAGAGAGAGTCCAAAGAACGGCAACAAAATTTATCCAGGGGACTGCACTCAGTTACAAGGAAAGACTACAAGCACTAAACTTATTCTCCCTGAAGAAGACATGCTTGAGAGGAGATATGAGAACAGTATACAAATACCTAAATGGTGATCTCAGTGTAGGAAGTAAACTATTCCATCTCAGGGACTATAAGAAGACTTGGGGACACTAACTGAAATTGGAGGAGATGCTGTTTAACCTTAAGCTGCATAAGGGGTTTTTCAATGTTAGGGCAGCAAGGATGTGGAACTTCCACAATCGGTGGTGTCAGTAGGAAGTATTGATAGTTTTAAAAGCCTTTTTGATGTGCATCTTAGTGAACACAATGTAACACCCTTGCTGTAAGTTCAGCTGCAGAATGGTAAAACCAACACAAGATGGCAGTGTCCTGCAAATTCAGTGGCACTCACATTCTGCAGAGCAGCCCCATGGACTTTGTCTGCTGAGCCATAGGACTTTGTTGGGGAGTAGAGGACTACTTTTCCCAGAAGAGCTGGAGTGTGGACTGGGGCAGATATATACAGAAGCTTGGGAGAATGGACAGGGAGTGAGAGGGGAGAGAGCTGGAGAGACGAAGCAGAGAGAGAGAGAGTTGTGCTGACTGCCAGAGAACCCAATCAGGCTGCAGAGCTAGAGAGAGGAGAGGCAAGGAGGAGACCCTGACCGCTAGCCTTGCCACCTTGTTCAGCGAGACAGGCTGCCAGCAGGTGAACCGGAGTGCGGTGACCATACACAATGCTGCACATGGGGCTGGAGAACCTGTAGGGACCCTCATCTGCTGACAGAGAGGGACAGCCAGGACCTACTGAAAGCAACCCATTGGGTGAGAGAGTTTCATACACCAATACCTACTACTTTAACTGCACTCAGTTGTGGACATTGCATGCAGTTAACACATGTTGTGGCCTAGTTACATAGTTGCATAGTTAGTCTGGCTGAAAAAAAACAAAAGTACATCCAGTTCAACCATAAAAAAAAAAGTTATAATCCTACACCCACAGTTGATCCAGAGGAATGCAAAACAATCCATCAAAGCATGATCTAATTTGCTTCTGCAGGGAAAAAAGGTCCTTCCTGATCCCCCCGAGAGGCAATTGGATATTCCCTGGATCAACTTTACCTATACATAGTAACCAGTTATATTCTGTGTATACAAGAAAGAATCCAGGCCTTTTTTAAAGCAATCCACTGAGCTGACCAAAACCAACTTTTGAAGGAATCTATTCCACATTTTCACAGCTCTTACTGTGAAGAAATCTTTTCGTGTATGGAGATTAAATTTATTTTCCTTCAGACGTAAAGAGTGCCCCCTTGTCCTCTGTGATGAATCCACTCCGAGTTCACTAAATGAACCACTAATGTATTTATACAGGTTGATCATATCCCCCTTAATCTCCTCTTCTCAAGAGAGAATAAATTCAGTTCCTCTAATACAGCGGTTCTCAACCTGGGGGTCGAACGACACTTTCCCAGGGGTCGCCTAAGACCATCGGAAAACACATATTTCCAATGGCCTTAGGAACCGAGACACCGCTCCTCTGTCCGTCTCCAGGTGTGGGCGGGATGACATGCAGTCCCTGTCATCCGGACACACCCCCGGGATCAATCCTCGCCGGTGATTGGCCGCCGGAACTGTAGCTCAGGAGAGGCACACAGGCGGCCAATCACCGGCGAGGAGGTGGAGCTTGGAAAGGAGGAGCCGAGCGGCACCGCGAAGATCGAGCGAGTGAAGAGGAGGAGAGCGGCCGGAGAAGGAAGACATCTGACTGGTAAGTGTCTGTACCATGGGAGAGGGAGGGAGCGAGCGAGCCCAGGCTGGAGCAGGGGTCAGCAAGGTAAGTATCATTGGTGTCAGTGGGAGGAATAGTGCCCAATCATTGGTGTCACTAATACCAATGATGGGGCACTATTCCTCCCCCCACTGACACCAACGATGGGGCACTATTCCTCCCCCCACTGACACCAACGATGGGGCACTATTCCTCCCCCTTTGACACCAACGATGGGGCACTATTCCTCCCCCCCCTGATACCAACGATGGGGCAGTATTCCTCCCACTGACACCAACGATGGGGCACTATTCCTCCCACTGACACCAACGATGGGGCACTATTCCTCCCACTGACACCAATGATGGGGCACTATTCCTCCCACTGACACCAACGATGGGGCACTATACTTCCCACTGATACCAACGATGGGGCACTATTCCTCCCACTGACACCAATCTTGGGGCACTATTCCTCCCACTGACACCAATCTTGGGGCACTATTCCTCCCACTGACACCAATGATGGGGCACTATTCCTCCCACTGATACCAATGATGGGGGCACTATTCCTCCCACTGACACCAATGATGGGGGCACTATTCCTCCCACTGACACCAATGATGGGGGCACTATTCCTCCCACTGACACCAATGATGGGGGCACTATTCCCCCTGATACCAATGATGGGGCACTATTCCTCCCACTGACACCAATGATGGGGGGCACTATTCCTCCCACTGATACCAATGATGGGGGCACTATTCCTCCCACTGACACCAATGATGGGGGCACTATTCCTCCCACTGATACCAATGATGGGGCACTATTCCTCCCACTGATACCAATGATGGGGCACTATTCCTCCCACTGACACCAATGATGGGGCACTATTCCTCCCACTGACACCAGTGTTGGGGCACTATTCCTCCCACTGACACCAGTGATGGGGCACTTTTCCTCCCACTGACACCAATGATGGGGACACTATTCCCCCACTGACACCAGTGATGGGGCACTATTCCTCCCACTGACACCAATGATGGGGCACTATTCCCCCCACTGACACCAATGATGGGGCACTATTCCCCCCACTGATACACCAATGATGGGGCACTATTCCTCCCACTGACACCAATGATGGGGCACTATTCCTCCCCCCACTGACACCAATGATGGGGCACTATTCCTCCCACTGACACCAATGATGGGGCACTATTCCTCCCACTGATACCAATGACGATGGGGCACTATTCCTCCCACTGACACCAATGATGGGGCACTATTCCTCCCACTGACACCAATGATGGGGCACTATTCCTCCCACTGACACCAATGATGGGGCACTATTCCTCCCACTGACACCAACCGATGGGGCACTATTCCTCCCACTGATACCAATGATGGGGCACTATTCCTCCCACTGACACCAATGATGGGGCACTATTCCTCCCCACTGACACCAACTATTCCTGAATGGGGGCACTATTCCTCCCACTGACACCAATGATGGGGCACTATTCCTCCCCTGACACCAATGATGGGGCACTATTCCTCCCACTGACACCAATGATGGGGCACTATTCCTCCCACTGACACCAATGATGGGGCACTATTCCTCCCACTGACACCAATGATGGGGCACTATTCCTCCCACTGACACCAGTGTTGGGGCACTATTCCTCCCACTGACACCAATGATGGGGCACTATTCCTCCCCCACTGACACCAATGATGGGGCACTATTCCCCCCACTGACACCAATGATGGGGCACTATTCCCCCCACTGACACCAATGATGGGGCACTATTCCTCCCACTGACACCAATGATGGGGGCACTATTCACTATTGCTCCCCCTGACACCAATGATGGGGCACTATTCCTCCCCCTGATACCAATGATGGGGCACTATTCCTCCCACTGACACCAATGATGGGGCACTATTCCTCCCACTGATACCAATGATGGGGCACTATTCCTCCCACTGACACCAGTGTTGGGGCACTATTCCTCCCACTGACACCAGTGATGGGACACTTTTCCTCCCACTGACACCAGTGATGGGGCACTATTCCTCCCACTGACACCAATGATGGGGCACTATTCCCCCCACTGACACCAATGATGGGGCACTATTCCCCCCACTGACACCAATGATGGGGCACTATTCTCCCCACTGACACCAATGATGGGGCACTATTCCCCCCACTGACACCTATGATGGGGCACTATTCCTCCCACTGACACCAATGACGTTGCACTATTCCTCCCACTGATACCAATGATGGGGCACTATTCCTCCCATTGACATCAGTGATGGGACACTATTCCTCCCACTGACACCAATGACGTGGCTCTACTCCTCCCACTGCAAAATTACAGTTATGAAGTAGCAACGAAAATAATTTTATGGTTGGGGGTCACCACAACATGAGGAACTGTATTAAGGGGTCGCGGCATTAGAAAGGTTGAGAACCACTGCTCTAATATTTCCTCATAGTTCACTATGTGAGCCACTGATGTATTTATACATGTTGATCATATCCCCCCTTAATTTCCTCTTCTCAAGAGAGAATACATTCAGTTCCTCTAACATTTCCTCATAGCTGAGCTCCTCCATGCCTCTTATCAGTTTGGTTGTCCTTCTCTGTATTTTCTCCAGTTCCCCAATGTTCTTTTTGTGAATTGGTGCCCAAAATCGAACTGCATATTCTATATGATGTTTTACTAATGATTTGTACCGGGGAAATGATATCTCTCTCTCTGGAGTCTATACCTCTTTTAATACAAGAGAGGATTTTGCTTGCTTTAGAAACCGCAGCTTGGCATTGCATGCCATTATTTAGCTTGTGAACTACCAGAACTCCAAGATCCTTTTCCATCATTGATTCCCCAGTTGTACCCCCCCTAGTATATATGATGCATGCATATTCTTAGCCCCCAAGTGCATCACCTTACATTTATCAACATTAAACCTCATTTGCCACATAGTTGCCCAATTAAACAGTGTATTGAGGTAGGCTTGTAAGTTGAAGACATCCTGTAAGGACATTATTCCACTGCACAGTTCCTATAGCCACTACGGATGAACACATTTGCAACATAGTCCAATCATTCTGCAGGCCAGATCACATCAGTGCTCCCTTAACCATTGGCCTACCCTCCTAAAGGAACTTCTACCACCTTTGCCATTGGTTACTGCAGCCCAGAGTGGATGAGTTGCCCTTTTGCCAACAAGTCCTATTGCCAGTTTGACACTTTATTTGCCTAAAGCTGTCCTTTTCTCAGTGCATTAAAGGGGACAACACCCAAGTGAAATGCTACTTATAGGGAAAGTCCTTGTCCTTTCTTCTTCCTCCCCTTGTGTAAATCCTGTGAGGAACTGTCACCTACATCATTTCCTACTTGTGCACCAACTGGGCCCCAGTGAGTGTGCAGAAGAATCCTCACTGCATTTAAATGAGATTGACTACTCTGGTCAAAGAGCTCTTTTATCTCAGATTTACTGTAAGCCTTGCCATCAGATTCTGAGGGCCCAAAGTGAGCTAGTTCTATGGTAGCTTGTTTTCATTGCTCACCGGATTTGACACAATCTCAGGTCAAAGGTATTGGGTTAACTTCTGAAAAGCAGGCCTGCTAACACTGATTGAGATTTTTCTGTATGTGTTGTTTTTTTGCTTAGGGTTGCTAAGAGTAATCATTGCCATTTCAAGTACCAATACCATTTTGTACTGTTTAAATAAGCTTACATTGAAGTTTGATATAAACCTCATATCAGTTTACTCTAATCAGTGTGTGAGTCTACTTTCTGGTGGTAATTTACTCTGGTCAAAAGATTCCTGTGGTGTCAGCAGGGGTTGGGCTTTCAGGAAGGGCTCCAGAACAACAGGAAGCCGGAAAATAACTCAGAGACTTCTAAGGGGGTAGTGCTAGAACAACATACAGGGATATAAAAAATAATTCACACACCTAGATAGGTTGAACTGGATGGACTAGTGTCTTTATTCAACCTTACCAACTATGTAACAATATGCATATGGCCAGCTTGACTATCTAGATTTAAAGTGTATGTTACCTCAACATTTCATATTCCTGATGTGTCTGTTGTACCATGTAATTGTGTTTTAAAAGCATCCTTTTCTCTTTGCATTGCTTTTTTTGTGTGAAATACGTGGTTATCCTGCCAGTAGCCCTGGTTTCCTATTGCAAACTGTCCAGGCTAGGCAGCAGAACACATCATCTCAGCAAGCTCAGCTTTTTCTCTGCCTCTAGTTTACACGCCCTTTGCAGTCTCCACCCCCACCTCTCAAAGCCTCTTATGTAACTGAGTACAGGGGTGATGTGATCACTTCTAAAAAAAAAGAAAAATAAGGTATTTATACAGTTTTATGTAATACTGTATATACAAAAATGTTTTGTCTTGTATTTCTATTTTAAAATTTGTATGAGTTGTTTAAACAGACAAGGGTTCACAAACACTTTAAATTGCCCCCCTTTATATATCTGTAACACCCTCTAATGCAGTTAGTTTTTATAGTTAGAGGCTTGCTAGAAGCCTGGGTGTGAGTCAGCAAGGTTACTTTAGGTTAGGGCTGGAGGTCACTAGAGGTCAGTCCTCTGGTACCACCACCTGCTCTAGAAACTCAGAGAAGTTTCTAGAGCAGGTGGACGAAGGTGAGGAAGGGCTGATCTGCATATTTATGGCAGTCTGACCAATCCCGGGAAGGAAAACTGGCAGTGTGGGAGATCAGCCTATAAATATGAGAGAGCCTGGCCAGCAGGGGAGTCAGGTGAAATATGTAGTGAGGAAGTGCTGCTGGTGTGGAGCCTGGGAAAGGGCCTGGAGAAGGGGGTCTATCTATAGGCTGGACGCTGGAAAGAGGGACCTCCAAGTGTTCTTAGTGCTCCTAGGAAGGACTATGTGCTGATCCATTAAGAGAAAAGAGTCACTTCAGAGGGAGTAGAATGTCCAGGATCGAATTCTTCTGCTTTATCTACATAGGAAGTTTGTTCTCCAAGTTGTTTCAGTTCCACTGGGCATCCATATACCCCTAGGCCCCATCCAAGTTGTGTAACCCCTAATAAAACAACAAAAAGCTCATGGACTGTTTGAATGCAAGAGTGGAAATTGCGTGTTGCCTGGCTGTGCAGGGAATTAGGGGGACCCAAAACTCAGCAGGTCTCAAGAAGGTAGTGCTACATATCCTTTGTGTGATAGTAGTTACACAAATAAAAAGAGGATTTTATTGAAAAGAACAAAAAAATCATCCAGAGCATATAATCATGGT